GCGATCCCTTCCCGGTGCCTTCGGGCTCGGCTCTGCGCTGGGGCGGGAGTCGCGCTCGGGCTTGCGGGCCTGGAGATGGGGCAGCCTGGGCTTTTCTTTCGGGACTCGCGCGTCCGCATCGAAGCAGACGAGCTTTACGCGACGCTCCCCGGAGGAAGCGGTCCTCTCCACGGGGACCCCAGTGTGGTCTCGAAGACCTGGCCTTTTGTTTGGGCTTAGAGTCCTCTTTACCTGGGATCGCCGGTCTTCTCTGGACCCCTTTTAGGAAGCCACAGAGCAAAGAAATCCAGAAAGCCCTTTGTGGGGCGGAATCCTGGTTAGGTCGTGATTTCTGTCGGGCCTGCCCTGCTGTCTGTTGTTGGATGCTACACCCTGTGTACTGTCCTTGGGTGTTTCTGGAGACCATGTTTGTGTGAAATCTTGACATGTTGAGTGGTCTACATAGAAGGAGATAGTAAAGTAGGGTTGGGAATTCTGGTATGGAGAGCAAAGAGGCTCCATTGGGAGGGAGCCATTCATGAACACCCAGAGAAGTAGCTGTCTATCAACTGGCCCCGAGGACAGTGAGTCTTTCAGTTTCTTTAAAACCCCTAAGAAATGTAGGACAGTAGTGTGGTTTGTTTCTTCAGAGGAGTTCTGGAAATGAAAGAGCTGTCTGTCTACTCTGAGATGTGCTGTTTAGTACTCAACATCTACTTTAAAGTAAGTACAAGCCCCAAAAGGATCCCATTTTTCTTTCATTGCTGCACTCCTTCCCCCCAACATAAAAATGTATTACTGATGGGCCGGGGATTTAGCTCAGCGGTTCGGTGCCCTGCCTTGCAAGCGCACGGACCCGAGTTCAATCCCCGGTACCAAAAAACAAAACAAAACAAAAAATGTATTACTGATAAGCTTTCTCCATCTTGCTTTTTTTTTTTTTTGTACTGGGATCGAACTCAGGTTCTTGCACTTGCTAGGCAGATGGTGGAACCACTGAGCCAAATCCCTGCCTCGTTTTGGCTCTTTCCACAGCTTTATAGGATTGCCTTTAGGTAGAAAACGAACACCGTCTTTCTCACTGGTGAAATATTTTTCTTGGCCAGAAGCGATGGTATACACATTGAGGCGGGAGAATCACAAGTTTGATTACAGCCTGGGCAATTTAGCAATTTAGGAAAAGACTGTTTAAAAAAAAAAAAAAAAAAGGATGGGACCCACCTGTAATCCCACTACTGTGAGAGGCTGAGGCAGGAGGATTACAGGTTTGAAACTAACTTGGCAAGTTAGCAAGTTCCTGTCTCAAAAGAGGGTGGTGGTGCTATGGTTATACTCAGTAGTAGAGCAATTGCCTGGCAAGTTTGAAGCCCTGCGTTTGATTTTGATTCCATATATACATATTTTAACTGGATCAGGTATCTTTTAATATTTAGTTTCCGGAAATAGCTAAAATGATGGGTGAAGTTGCTATATACAATACTAATGCCCATTGCTTAGTTCCTGGGTACCTGTGGAGAGTATACTGAAGAGAGTCGTTTGGATTGTATTATAGGGTATCATTTGTTAGGGTATTGTATTACAGGGTATCATCTGGGTCAAAATGTTTATCAGAATTTATGGAATTTAACGTGGAGAGTAGTTTTGGAATGCCTTGGTTTGTTGTGCTTCTCAAAATACAGAAGTGAAAACTCATTTCAGGGCCGGGGATTTAGCTTAGTGGCTGCCTCTCAAGTGGAAGTTCTGGAGTTTGATCCCCAGTACCCCCCCAAAAAAGAAGTGAAAGCTCATTTCAAAATGACCTATTCAGTAAACAAATATTTCTATTTGTGACATCCTAATAAAGGCCAGAGAATATGTAAAAGTTGAAATAGGAAATGAAATCAGAAAAACACATTATACAAAGTTTTAAGACCTAAGACTGTATCAAACTTCATATTCAAGTTTACTGAGAATTTCATTGAAACTTCCCAGTGAACATTTATTTTGATTTGTACACATTGCTTACTCAGTTTTTCTTCAGTAATATTCTCATTGTCATCTACACACCACAGTTCACCTGAAATAGCAAGGCAAGGATACCCGGAGTAATGTTCTGAAACACACCCAGTTCTCTCACACGGGTCTACCAGCCATCAGAAGTTACTCCAAAGGCTGGGGATTTAGCTCAGTGGTTCTGCCGCTCGAGGACCCGAGTTCAATTCCAGGTACCAGAAAAAATAAAAGTTACTCCAAGTGTTTTATGTAAAGGAAGCTGGAACATGGTCATTTCACAGTCAAGGGAGAGAAGTTATTCTGGGAAACATGCAGAAGCTCTTTAGTTGGCTAAAGCAAAGAAAGATGGTAGCATTCTGGTTGCTCACTAAAATCCTGTGATCAGGCCTCTGAACTAAAGCTGTGGAAACAAGCTTCAACTCAAGAGCTCCTGAGAAGTTACTTGGTCAATTATTAAGCTCCTATCTGGGAGCTGAGGATGTAGCTGTGAAGAGCAGTAGATAAGAACTTCTGGTCTTGGTGTGCCCGGGTAAACTATGAACTCCGTAAGCCCACGAGTTGGGCCAAGTAGGCATTCAGTCAGCATTATTTGGCTGTTACCAGACCTTGTTCTGGCTGAGATTGAGGGTGTAGGCTGCCTTTCAGCCCTGATAAAGACTTTGGCCCAGAATTACTTTTTATGGTTTTTAACAGTATTAGAGATTGAACCCAAGGCCTTTGAAGTGAGCTATATCCCTCTTTTTAATTTTTTTATTTTCTAGGACTGGAAGTACAGTTCAATGGTACAGCCCTTGCCCAGAATGTGCAAGGTCCTGAGTTCAATCCCTAGCAGACAGACCAAAAAATTTTCTTTTAAATTTTCAAACAGGTTTTGCTAAGTCACTAAGTTACCCAGGCTGGGCTTGAACTGCAGTCCTACAGAATGTTGAAATTGCAGGTGTGCACCACTATGGCCAGTGTGAAATAAATATCACACCAAATACTGTCTTCTTTTTGTTCTTCATTCCCCCTTCTAGTCTCCAGGTTTATAATTCTGCTTTGAGCACACCTTCCCCCCCTTTTCAGCCAGAATAACTTTTAGCTACATTAATGCCTTTGATTATTATGGTTACATTCATCTATATTGCATTGTTACTAAATTATAATCTTATGAATTATTACAGTTATGCTTCATGAGAAGGATGTTGATCATTTACTTACAAAGAGTTCCATACTGGTAGATGATTACTACTTCTCACTACTCTGTTTTTTCTCCACCTGTAGTTCTGGGGATTCATTACAGATCCTGTGCACTGAACTAAATGTCTAGCCCCCTTTTCTTTTTTTAGAAAAATGTTTTAAAGCTGGGCACTGTGGTGCACACCTATAATCCCAGCACTCAGGAGGCTAAGGCAAGAGGATGGTAAATTTAAGAACAGCCTGGGCTACATAGTGAGTCGAAGCTCAACCTGGACTGTGTAGTGAGACCCTGTTTCAAAAAATAAACTTACTGTTGTAGCCCAGGCTGGCCTCCAATTTGAAACCAGTCCTCCTGCCTCAGTCTCCCAGGTGCTGGAATTACAGGCATGTGCCACTATGCCTGGCAAACACTTTAAAAAGATTTTTAAAATGTTAACTTTTAACATTTAAGTTGTTAAGTTACCTATGCTGGGCTCAAACTTATCCTCCTGCCTCAGCCTTCCAAAGTGCTCAAATTGCTAATATATACCACAACTCTCAGCTCCCGTTTTTACTCCTTCATACCCCATACATTTGTTCAGCTGAGCAGATCTCTTCTCTAGACTCATTTCTGTATGTCTTTCTTCCTTTCCTCTCATCTGAAATGTTCTTCCCTGATTTCCTTTTCTTTCTAAATGCTACCTGTACTTTAAACCAAGCTCGAGTTCTAAATCTGCCTTGAAACTTTGTTTGCTTGCTGCTGTCCTTCCTATGCCTTCCTTTTTTTCCCTTCGCATCCCTATTTATTTGTTTGTTTGTTTCTTTGAGACAAGGTCTTGCTATATAGTCCATGCTGGCCTTAAACTCACTGTGTAGCTCAGGCTGGCCTTGGTCTTGTAGCAGTCTTCCTACCTCAGCCTCAGGCATGAACCACCATGCCTGGCTCAGGATCTATATTTCTTTGTGGCCAAAGGTGAAGGAACTTGAGAGCAGAAGCCATTGCCTTCCCTATTAAAGAGGCAGGAACAGCTTTGGTGAGCTTGCCCAAGGCCCAGCTGTCCTGGCCACCGTGGGAGCATTTCAGAATATTTCCCTGGGCTTTATCCAATTCACATTTCTAGTGTGGTCTTTTCCACCTATGTATGTAGTTTTTTCCCCCCATATATACAGCACATGAGGCCTGCAAAGTGGAAATGGTCAACTGAAAAGTAAAAGATGTGTGAAGCAAGGAGAGAACATGGTTGCCAGAAGTAGTTTTGGCAGGCTCGAGCTGGACGTGGTGGTGCATTGACTTGGTATTTTCACTGAGGTAAATCATGGAACCCTCAAAGTTTAATAGGAACATTATATTTTTATGCTTCACAAGTGATGACAGGGAGCTACTAACTCATTTAGGAGATAACCTACTAGATTTAACACGGTTTTAGAATTTCCTGGTTACTACATCATGCCATCGAATGGGGTGCAACTGTTAAAAAGGTGGGGTCAGAGCAAGGCATGGTGGTGCATGCCTGTAACTCCAAGCATTTGGGAGGCTGAGTCAGGATTGCACGGACAAGGCCAGTCTGGGCAACTTTGCAAGACTATTTCAAATGGACCTTGAGTGCTTGTTTGGAGATTCCTGCAGGGGAGCATAACTACCCAAATACCCTGACCAAGGAAATGCTCCTCTTCTATCTGGGGTTGTCGTCCTCTTTCACTAAGTGTGCAGCTTCAGCAGGGAGGCACATGGAGTGGTAAAGGAGGAAAGGGACACCCACCTAGACAGATCAGCCGAACCAACCCTGGTGATCAATAGGGTGACTGGTATTGCTGCAGGATCACCCTTGCATCTAAGACTTTATTTCAAAACAAAGTTTATAAAGGGCTTAGAGTGTACTCAGTGGTAAAGTGCTTGCGTAGGATTTCTAAGTCCCTGTTTTAGCTTATGGTTCTAGGTGAGGTGGAGGGGCCGGCATCTGGCAAGGTTTTTCTTGCTGTGTCATTCCCTGATGGAAGGGCAAAAGAGCACGAGATCATAGTTGCAGCCTGAAGCTGGGTTATGAAAGACACTAATCTGCACCTGAGGGCGCGGCCTTCCTGAAGGAACCTCCCCTGGTCTCATGCCCGCACCCGTGCATTCAAATTCAGTTTCTGGCACGTGCTTTTCTGGGGACATGTCCAGAATCACAGCAAGGATTGGGATCTCAGTTCTGGACCGTGGAACCAGTTCTATATCTGTCACGTTAGTCTAAGCATGTTGTAAAGCTCATACACCAGCAAAAAATCACAAGAATTTCAGTAGAAGCAAGAATTGCACTGGAGTATAAATTTCCCCTGCAACTTTCCTCTAGGAATTGTGCGTGTGTGTGTGTGTGTGTGTGTGTGTGTGTAAGTGGAACACTTTAGGGTGGAACCCCCAGCCTTCAAACTGAGCGCAACCCTTTTAAAATTATTTATTTATCTTGAGATGAGGTCTTTCTGGTCTTGAATTTTCAATCTTCCTGCCTCAGCCTCCCACAATAGTGGGACTGCCTGCAGCCCGCTTGTCTTAGCTTATTAGAGGCCTAAGCAAGGCTTTCTTTTGCTTCTTGACTTTCTGAAGAGTGGGTCACTGTAAGCTGTGCAGTTCTTCTCTGGTGATATCCTATAATCTAATTTTTCTATCCACTCTGCACTAGTGCAGTGAGTGCAGGCCAGGCCATCCAGCTGGAAAGTTAGTTTTTGGAAACGTTATTTTTATAATTGCTGTGAGTGAATCCAGGAAAGCTTTGCAGATTCCTTTCATTTGGGCAGTTTTTATGAATGTGATAAATGTGCAATATGATTTCTTGAAGTTTTCTGTTCCGGCACTAGAGCATTCTTATTGTTTCCCGTCTAGTGCAGTCATGTTTGAAATTAAGAAGATCTGCTGCATTGGTGCGGGCTATGTCGGGGGACCCACCTGCAGTGTCATTGCCCACATGTGCCCTGGAATCAAGGTGACAGTTGTGGATGTCAATGAGTCCAGAATCAATGCATGGAATTCTCCTACTCTTCCTATTTATGAGGTAAGTGTATTAAACAATGCTTTGTTCGTATGTTTTTTGTTTTCTTTTTTATTTTCTAGTACCAGGAATCGGACTCAGGACCTTTTGCCTGCCAGGCAGGCGCAGCACCACTGAGCTAAATCCTCACCCCCCCTCCTTTAAATCAGTTTTAATTTTAATTTTAATTTTTTAATTTTTCTTTTTCTTATTGGTACATTTTTTTTTTCTTGGTACTGGGGATCGAACTCAGGACCTTGCACTTGCAAGGTAGGCATGGCGCTACTGAGCTAAATCCCTGGCGTGGTACATTTTAAATATACATGATGATAACATTAATCATAGAGAATTTGTACTTGCACATGATATATCTTGCTGTTTCTTTTTTTCCCATTTCCCTCCCCTTCTTTTAACCCTTATTTGATTTTTGGGGTTTTTGTTTTGTTTTGCTTTTGAGACAGGCTCTAACAATGTAGTTCAGATTGCCCTGGAACTCACTTTATAGTCCAAGCTGCTCTTGAACTCGTTCGTTAGTGATTCTCAGCCTCCCAAGTGCTGGGATTGCAGGTGTGCACCATCACGCCTGGCAACCCTTATTTATAAAAGTTTTGTTTCCATTTTTTTCCTTCTGTTCTTTTTTTTCGTTTTCTTTTTCTTTTTTTGGTACTGGGGATTGAACTCAAGACTTGAATTTATGAGGCAGGTGCAATGTCACTGAGCTAAATCCCTGTGCCCTGATCTTTTTTTTTTTTTCCCTTGCCCATTCCTTCCTTTTCCCTTTACTCCTCCCTTGTTCCCCTTCCCATTTTTTTTTTTTTCCCATTCCCTTATCTGTCAGACATTTTGGTCCTTACTTACACTTTTGGTTTCTCACACCAGAGAAACAATGTGATGTTTAATCATGTGTTTCTGATTTATTTCACTTCAAAGTATGGTCTCAAGTTACATCCATTTAGCTAGAATTGTCTCAAGCTTACTTCTTTATGGCAGAGTAGTAATCCATTGTATAAAAAACCATATCGTCTTTATCTATTCATTGGTTGATAGGCATTTGGGCTGTTTCCAAGATTTATCTATTATAGACTGTGCTGCTGTAAACATGGGTGTGCATATATTGCTATAGTATGATGCTTTGCTTTGCTTTTTTTCAGACAGGGTCTCACTGTGTAGTTGAGACTGACCTGGAACTCACTATGTAGCCCAGGCTGGTCTCAAACTCACAGCGATCCTCCTGCCTCAGCCTCCCAGGTGCTGGGATTACAGGTGTGTGCTACACTGCCCGGTGATGCTTTTTTTATTTTTGGAACCACGGATCGAACTCAGATCTTTGTGCTTGTGAAGCAGGCGGCGGAACCACTGAGCTAAATCCCCAGACCCTGCTTTTGATTCTTTAAGGAAGATACCAAGAGGGAGAATAGCTGGGTTAAATGGAACCTTGAGTTTTTTTGGTTTTTGTTTTTGTTTTGATTTTTTTTTTGTCCCAGGGATCGAACTTGGGTTGTTGTGCTTGCAAGGCAGGTGGTGGAACCACTGAGCTAAATCCCCAGCTTGAGTTTTATTTTTTGAGGAATCTTCACATTGATTTCCAGTGATTGCGCCAGTCTGTACTCCCACCAACAGTGGAGAAGGGTTCCTTTTTCTCCACAGCTCCTCCAGCATTTGTTATTGGATGA